GGGTCCTTGATTTTTGAGAGATCATAGCCTGTCAAGAAAAAAGAGATTTAAACAAATACTTAACATACAATATAAACAAATAATTCCAAAACAAAGTAGGAGATCCTGTCTGGGGAAATCTCACGAGAGTTATCACTAAGAGTGTGGCATGGAGCATCAGCAGATTGCTCTTCAGGCCAAGAAGAGGACCTATTTGGTGGCAAGGTTTCCGTATTTTCTGTATAGTGGTACTATGTTAACTCTAAGTAGACCGTGCAAGATAAAGATGTATATTATAATTCTTAGAGCGATCACTTAAAAATAGTGCAAAAAGTGTTGGTCAAAAGCCAATAGATAAATTAAAATGGAATTCTAAGGATAGAGAAAGAGAAGAACAAAAAAATTACTGATGAAACAAAGATTTTGGGTAGACCTAAATCTAATCATATCAATAATTACATTAGATTTTAATGCAATAAACACCCCAATTAAGAGGCAGAAATGTCAGAATGTAGAAAAAAGGTAAGACCCAATTATGTGTCCTAAGACACCCTTCATAAAAACACATTTGGACATTTGCCAGACGTGAAAGGAAAAAAATCCATTCCACAATCATAGCAGGAGATTTTAAAACCCTCTCTTAACAACCGATAGAACAAGAAAAAATCCACAACTATTTGGATATTAAGCAATGCATTTCTAAATAATCCTTGGATCAAAAAAGAAATCAGAGTAATTTTTTTAACTGAACTTACTATTGCAGCACTATTCATGATACCCAAGGTATGGAATCAACCTAGGTGTCCAATGACAGAAGAATGGATAAAGAAAATGTGGTTTACACAATGGAATACTATTTAGCCATAAAAAGAATGAAATCCTGTCTGTCATGGCAACATGGATAGAACTGGAGGCCATTATTTTAAGTGTAATAAGCCAGGAACAGAAAGGTAAATGCCACATGTTCTTACTCATATGTGGAAGCTAAAAAAAGTTGACCTCATAGAAGTAAAAAGTAGAACACAAGATACTAGAGGCTGGCAAGGGTAGAGGGAAGGATAGGATAGGGAAAGATTTGTTAAAGAATACAAAATTACAGCTAAATAAAAAGAATAAGTTCTAGCGTTCTACAGCATTGTAGGGTAACTATAGTTATTATATAGTTTCAAATAGCTAGGAGGAGGATATTGAATGTTCCCAACACAAACAAATGATAAATGTTCAAGATGATGAGTGTTCTAATTACCCTGATCTGATCACTACACGTTACATGTATTGAAACATCACAATGTACCCCATAAATACGTACAATTATTATATGTCAACTAAAAAAGGGAAATAATTTTTTTAATTGAACTTAAAGATATCAAGAATATGAAAAAATTGAGGGATTCCGTTAAAGTCAAAATATAGACTGATAGAAATTTATAGCCTTTAACTTACATATTAGAAAAGAAAGGCTGACGTTAGGTCACTAAGTATACATCTGAAGAAATCAGAAAACAGCAGCAATTGAACAAAAAGGAAGTAGCAAAAAGGAAACAAAGAGTAGAAATTAGTGAAATAGACAACAAATGTTTTCAACAAAGCCAAAATTTAATTCCTTCCAAAAAAATTGATAAAATAGATAAACTACTGGCAAGTCTAATCAAGAAAAAAGAATATGGCATATATAGCCAATAAAATTAAAAGCGGGGTCATTAAGTAAATTAAAAAGATAAGTACATGCTAAGAAAAAACTCCATATGAATAAATTTGAAATTTTAGATTAAAACGAACACTTTCTAAAGTAATATAAATTATCAAAACTGACACAAAGTGGTAATGGAAAAATCTGAATAATACTATAGCTGTTAAGTAAATTTAATCCATAATTAAAACACTTTCTACAAAGAAAACTTCAGGACCAAATGTCTTCACCTGTGATTTATTTCAAATATGCAAGGAAGAAATAACACCATAAAACTATTTAAGAGAGAATAGGCTTTCTGTCTTCAAGTATCTATGAATGGTAACAAATGGCCAACAAGTACATGCAAACACACTGTACCAAGAGAACATATGTATATTCTCTACCGTCTGACATTCAGAGAAATTAGAAGCATCTAACATTCTGGAGAAAGTGTCTTAACAATTAGCCATGCAGGATTAAAACAGTAAAGTTAGAGGGACCCGCCTCTGTTCTACAGTCTAATGGTACAACTACAAAAAAGCCTTTTCCAAGAAATAGAGTTCCCCAAACCTGTAATGAAATGTCTTCAGAAGTAGTGAGCTTCCTGGCCACAGAGGTGATTCAACAGGTACTTAATAACTATTGGCCAGGGATGCAATAGGGTATTTCTAGCCTGTGCAGCATGAAAGGTTAGATGACCCCAGAGGTACATTCTAGTTTTATGATGCTATCATTACACTCTGTCCCTGGAAGAAGCTGTATCTAAGAAGAAAGAAATGACATCTTGGCCTGTCACACTAGCCCCTGACACCTGGTTTCCCAAAGTGTCCTCAGTAACTGGGTATGTCTTGTTTTGTAGGACAGTTAATACACTTAAAGTCATGTTTACAAACGTTTAAAGGAATGTTTATAAGGTAGCCATTACATTTCTCTTCAGTCTGTACTTCTCCTGGCTAAACATACTACTGTTTCCAGGCCCTTTTCCAAGCTTGTTTGACCTTATTAACAGAAAGATAACAAACATCAAACACCAAGCATCCGAACCCAAATTCAGTCTGATGGGCACAGTGTACAATGTTGTTACTGCCACTGCCCTGCTCGTTCTATTTCTACTAATGCATCCTACAGTGTGCTAAGGCTACAGATTTTTATCCAAATCTATAAAACAATAACTTGGTCTATACTGTGGAATATGCTTTCAACCATCTATTTATTCATTTATTTAACCTATTCATTTCTTGTTCTCTCCATCTAATTCAATGATATCTTAAATTCTACTGACTCTAAAATCATGTAGATTAATCCATTAGTCCCACATTACTAAGGTTTGCAGATGTATGTCGAAAGGTGCCATGGGTGTCAAGGAGAACTTGAGGAGTTAATTCTAATTTTCTCAACATTCTGTGACATATGATGAGGGCTTATAATATAATGTTTTAAGACAAAGCCTTTTAAAGACATACTATACCTATGTGTATATCAAAAGAAAATTCCTTAAGTCAACGAAGACCCTATCTATCATAAAAATTACAGAGGTACCATGGAATAGACGACTTACTTGAGAAAATCCTCAGGTAATTAAGATATTCCTTTGATATGAGCCATTTTAACAGGAGGTTAAGTTAACCTGCACTCTGTAACATGACCTAAATCTACTCTATCCTATAGACATATGCTGGTCAAGGATATAAGGCCCCAGACCACAAGTCAGAAGAAATGTTCTGTTTTGACATGGCTTTTGGTTCTATTAGACTCTGGGGGACCCTTTGTTTCTCTGTTTATTTCAATGTATACATATTTCCAAGTTACTAATAACAACTCCTTCACCCTAGGCATGTAAAGGGCAACTAGAAGCATTAACTGAACAACCCATAAAGTAACTAAAACAAAATTTGGTATCACATATAGGTCACTAAACTAGGCATTGGTAAACTTGAGTTACAAATCTCAGCTCTATGCAGCCACAGGAAGTCACTTAACCTCTCTGGAGTCTCCTTATTTACATACACTAGAGGTTCCCCCTGCTTATATAATTCTGCTACACTGTTCAAAATAAACTGAGCAAAAGTATTCAGGTATTCAGGGCATTTCACATTTAGCTCTGTAGCTTTTCTTTTTCTTTTTTCTTTGAGATAGAGTCTTGCTCTGCTGCCCTGGCTAGAGTGCTGTGGCGTCTGCCTAGCTCATGGCAACCTCAAACTCCTGGGCTCAAGCAATCCTCCTGCCTCAGCCTCCTGAGTAGCTGAGACTACAGCGGCATACCACCATGCCCAGCTAATTTTTTCTATTTTTAGTAGAGACGGGGTCTCGCTCTTGCTCAGGCTGGTCTTCAACTCCTGACCTCAAGTGATCCTCCCACCTCGGCCTCCCAGAGTGCTAGGATTATAGGCATGAGCCACTGTGCCCGGCCCCCATAGCTTTTCTTATTGCCTAGGCAAAGTGTGTTCAATCTGATATTTAGTACCTGAATATTTCCGGATGGCCAGCAATATTCTCATGACAGGCGAAAAGGGAACTCTGTTGCCCAACCACATGTCAGCAACAAAGTAGTACTGCCAGGTACACGTGTGTGCCTATGTGTGGGTGCGAGTGAGTACACACATCCACACGTGGATAGAAGGTGACCAGCATGGAAACCAAAGAGTGCTCTGTAATGTGGTCCAAACTCCTATGGATTTTTATCACAAATTAATAGAAGGTAACAACCATACATTGAAATTCTTTACTTCCTTAGGTAAATGGAGTGAGCACGAGGTGGTTCACCATGTGACCTTCATAGGCTGAACAAATGAGCAACACGTGACAAAACAACTCAAGTTTCTAAAAAGCCAAAACAACTGTTGAGCCATACCAACGAATGGAGTTAGTCTTACCTTGACAAAAGGTGTTGTTGACCCGCTTATAACCTTGTAGGCATTCCATCATTTGGTTATATCCATGATAGGCTGTAAGGGAAGAAATTCTTTGTTATATTCTTAGTTTATATTCTTACAATCCTAAACTACTATATGTGACAACCAAAGGCATCAGCAAACTTAGTTATTCATTTATAAGATGCCAATACCAGTGTATTCATGTATCTCCACAATGGCTTTCACATTATGCTTGCTTTTCAGGATACTTCATATTTTGCAACAGATATAGAAGTTGTCAGTAAATCTTTGTTACGTTAACTGAATGAATTGTAAGATTGTTTTATATTTTCTTCTAATTAGTGATTAAATATTTCTATCACAAAGGATCTATTCCTCCTGAATGATCTGCTTCAGGGGTTTGGCCTTTCTCATCCATTGTAGGTAGGATGACAACACGCCCTGGTCTGCCTGGGACGCTCCCGGGTTATGTCTGTTATTCTGGTAAAGTTAATTAACAGCACTATACTCTCAAAAGTTTCCCAGTTTAGAAAATAAACTATACCTCATCTTAATTATAGGCTCAAGTATCCTAATTATAAGGATGATTCTTATTACTGTGAACTGAGGAGAACAGTCAGGGGCTGAGAGGAAGCCAGGGATTAAAAGAGCTGCTGTGATTAGCTGTGTGGTTCTTCGCTCAGAAAATGCAAATACAAACGCTGCAGTCACCCACTTATCAACGAAAGTCTATTCAGTGAGATTTGACACTTTAAAGTGAGGCCTGAGAGACCACCTGGCATAGTGGACAGGGCCTAAGTGTTAGGACCGGGCAGACGTGGGTTCAAATCTTGGTTCTTCCTATCAATAGCTCTTGGGAAATAAGCCTCCTAGGTTTCAAACTGAAATTCTATACAGTGGGAGTATTCCCATCGAATGAGGGTTTGGAGATAATTCATGAAAAATGCCTGCCACAGTGCCTGACAATGACAGGCACTCACGAAATATCAAACTCCATTGTTATTTCCTGCAATAAGGTGTTCTTCTAGTAAGAGGACAATGTGAGAAAGAAAATGGGCTGTAATCAAAGTAAGATGAATGGTTAGACCACTACAAAGAACTGAAGGAGGAGTAAAAGGGGAAAACAGAAACAAAAAGGGAAATTTTATTTTGAAAAAATATTTTTGCCATCCACGTAGGCTCTTTGTCTGTCACCACTAATGGAACAGGGTGAATGTTTACTAGTGAGTGCCTCTACTCCTCTGCCTCCTTCCTTTGCTGTGTTTCCCCTGTATTCAGATCCTTCTGGATACCTAAGAAAGAAGATCAAAGTGAGGAGCCCGGGAACGCTGAGTTAAAAGAGGGGAGAGGCTAGCATGTGGGAGTCACCCCGTTCAGCTCCTGGGCCTCACGTCCAGTCTTGTCCCATATAAGAAAGGTGCTCAGGAGCAGGTTGCCTGTGGAGATTGTGGGATCTCTGTCTGTGACTTCTTCAAAGGCAAGAGATAATAACTTGTTTTAGAGTTTCAACAGTCCTCTACTTCAAGGCAGAGAGCCAGACCAGGCGTTCTCTCAAAGTCTTCCTCAGCTTACGACTCTATGTTAATTTTCTTCTAGAAATTTGTAAAGGACAAGTGGCTTGTTCTCTGTGCTAAGCACATTTCTAACAGATGACACACTATTTAATGAAATCATTTGCAGACTCAAAATTAAGTTTTCACAGCAAAAATGATCAACAATGAAAAGTCTTTCTGTTTGTGGCTAAACAAAAACTTTAAACATTAAATAAAAGCCACTTGAAAACTAAAGTTTGAACTACTTCGAGTCAAAAAAAAAGAGGCACGGAACACAAAACCATAGTGTATAAAGCCAAAGAAAGTCTGCTCTCTTCCAAACTGAATATGATTTAGAGAGTAGTACCAACCAAGGAAAGGAAAGTTTTTTAAATGACACAGGAAGAATGTGACCTTGAGTGTGTTTCTTGGGAGTGAGTCACTTAAGACAGCACAAACAGAATAAATGTCAAGACGTTAATAGTTTACTTCATTCATAATCCACATTGCCCTTCCTGAAGTGAAATCAATCTCTTCAATTTTATACATCAAATGAGCCAACATATGAATTTATTTTCATCAATATTTAGTTAAAAGTGACAGGCAACTCTGTACTTTCACATTCAACTTAAATCATTTCAAGATTAAAATATAGAGCTAAAAAAATCATATAAAGCAGCAAATTCATCCCCAGATGATACAATTGTAGATAAAAATGACCAAAGGTCAAGAGAAGTTAGGGTTTCAAAAAAAAAAAAGACTGCATGAGTCCCTTTACCCCTAGTGTCTGCCATTTTCCTGCTACTGTGGGAGTTGGAAAAGAGCAAAGCAGCTAAGCAAAGACACACAAAGAAGGGGGTAAATGAAAAAGAAAAATAAGGGAAAAGATGGAGAAAGTATTAGAGAATACTCTAATAAACTTAGCCCCAAAACAAAGTTTTAAGAACCTAACTTCTCTCACCCTCAGTCCTTAGACCTAACGGAGGGAAACATACCACCCTCCTCAATGTTCCTACAGACACCCATACGTGGTAACTAAGGACAGGCAGTTTAACACAAAAAGATGGCAATGCTTTCTCAACATTTTAGATACAGATTCCTATTTAGTGATCCACAAAATTCTATAGTAAATGAAAGAGGGGGAGTCAGACTCAGGTCTACCTAACCCCAAACACGGTGCTCTTTAAGTCATACCAAATACATCCTACATACTCCTTTGGTGAGGTGGCCAAAGTAATTTTAGGCAAATAGATCTTCCACTGAGGAGGTACCATCACACTCAACCTACTTCCTGGAAATCCACACCGCAAATCATTATCCAATCAGCTTAGAGAGTCTACTTAGCACATTCTCTCAACACAGAATGTCTCCTTTATGTGGATTATTTTTCTAAAAGAAGAATTCATTAATTATCAGAAACTTTAGTGGGCCTTTCCACAAATTAGTCTTCTAGATGATAAGAGCAGAATCAACAAAATAAATGAAATTAGGTTTAGGCATTTAGAGAACCTACAAGTTTGAAAGACAAGGAAGTGTCTAAATGAGAGGCAATTATTTAAAACAAATTATTATGCTGGTAGAAAAACAAATAGCACGTAAGAAAGAGATACAGAGTGGTAATTCCAAGATGGCAGATTCTAGATTGAGCAGAGATAATTGTGGAGAATATCAATCAAATCAACATAATTAAGAGGAGTAAAAATTGTCCAAATGAAGCAAGTAAGAAATTTCTTACAGTAAAAAGAATAAAAAACAACTATAAAAATCTTCAGTTATATGAGGCAATGGAAGATGTGTAGAAAAATATCACTTGCTCTCTTGGCAAAAACATAAGTTAGTATAAGAAAGCTCAACTTAAAACAAGTTACCTCTTTCTTTCTAAAAAGTATGTATTAGAAGTCAGTTATCCAGAGTTAATGCTCCATTTGAAAACTAAAAATATGGTACAAACTGTTGTTGGGAAGAAAGTAAGAGAAAGGTGTAAACCTAGATTTATTCCAATCAGCAGGTTCTAAAAAACACCTTAAAGACAAATCAAAACATGTGGATGGTAACACAGACTGATGTCACTGAGGACTGTGATAGTATAAAAGTGGTGCTAAGAAAAAAGGGGAACGTATTGTATCCTAGCGATTATAAATTTCTTTTACAAATCAGCAACCAATCATTTCTCCATTTTAGCTTGACTTTTAAAATTTGAAAACCTATAGTATAACAAAAACTTCAACATAAGTGTGGATATTAACAAAAATTTCATTTAAGCAATTTAAATCTAGGAAATAACAACTGCATTGTCTTTTTATGGGGTTCAAAACATTTTTTTACCATTTTAAAAGACATCTTATTTTCTCTTCCCCTGGACAAAAGAGCCTATTTTAGCTCATTGCCTCTTGAGAGTTTTTTTCCCGTAAGTAATCTAACTGGAAAAGGCAATGAATAACTGTGCTTATTAAAAAAACAGAATCTAGATGGCAACTTTATCAGACTTGCAAGCTTTCTGGAAACACATAACACTATCTTCTAGAATGCACTAATGGAGTTCTTTGAAAGTCTAATGGTTGCTCCATCATTAAAAGAGTAATCTTAAGAAAACAGATATGCTACATTAACCTACAAAGGAATGGCGAAACGTCACTTACATGGCTTCTTGGGGCATTTCTGGCATTTGTTAAAGCCCCAGGAGGTACCCACGGTTCCACAGCAGTCCTCTTGCTTTGAAAGGCCAGGGAGCGCTTTGCCGCACTGCAATGATGAGGTGTGAAATATGAAGGTTAATTGAGTGCAGGATGCTCAGCCCTGGGGCACTGCTGTGCTTCACAGTCACATTATAAAACAGTTCCCTTGTTATCGACACAATTAGAGAGGGAAAAAAAACTATAAAACTTTGAAACAAAATACCAGGACAGCATCAATACAACACTAAAATGAATAAGCACATTTCCAAGTAAGAGCACCTTGCATTTTTAGAGTCTCATGGAAATCTGTCACTGTTCAGGGCACTTTATAAAACTTAAGTTTCTAATGCCTTTTTTTTTTCTTAATAAGAGCCTCACGATTTATAAGATCAATGTAAACTTTTTACATTTTAGTTGTAACTGTCTCTTTAAATCTCTCCTATGGGTCATCAGGGAACAGAACTATAAGGGCATGTGTGTAAAACTTGAGAAAGTGGCACAGGTCCCACCTACAAGAGGCTTTTGGTCTTCCTGCAACCCCAAGGCCTGAGCAGGGGCAGGACAGTACAAGAAACGATTATCAGCTGAGCAGATCAGCTCTGGCAGAGACAAAGTCTCCAGGCAGCCAAGCGTTCTGACCCAGGGAGGTCAGCCAGGCTAGGAAGGTGCTGGCACGTCTAAGCAAGCCCAGCCTGAGCAGGCAGAGCGGGGCTGAGCAGCTACCGGAGCAACACCAGCTGTCAAATGTTAAGACCAGGGAGGACTCGTGGTCAACCACAGGAGGTGAGAAGAGCCTGAGAGGCAGGGGCATGAAGTTAGACCCACTCAGTGGGGCAGGGAAGGGCCTAGGAAGACAGATCCTGTTCTGTGTACCCCTCCCACGGCCAGTCAGGCAGGGAGCGCCCCCTGACTCTCTGTCACCACTGTGCAGGCTAAGTCCATACACCTTTGTCCCCAGAGCATCCAAGGGGTCACTCTGCCTTCCTCTGCCTCAACCTCTATGAAATCCTCCAAGCAGTTTCCAGAGGCATCTTTCCAAAGACAAATCTGATGACATTACTCTGCTGAGCACAAACTTTCAGTGACTTCCCACTGTCTGAAAACTACACATTCTCCAGCATGCTGTAAGGTCTTTCCTACCCACACCCAAGGCCATCTTTTGTCCCCCTCCACCTCTCAACATCTATCCTCCAGGCATGCCAAAGGGCTCTTGATTTTCTGAACAAACCACGTCCTTCCAAAAGATGTTTTCCTTTCCCTGGAATGCCCCTGCTTTTACCTTCCCCTGGACAGACTTTATTCACCCCATGAGACCAGCTCTGAAGATCCGCCACTATGAAGCCTCCCTGTCTCTTCGTTTCCAGTGAGTTCTTCCCTGCTCTTTACTCCACAGCACCTTCTACACAGTTCCACTGCCTCTGCTATGCATTTTAGTTAAATGCATAAACATTTTATTTACCTTTATATCCCGGTACACAGTACAATGCTCAGTAAGTGCTGAATGAATGTACAAAGGAACGAATAAACAACCTAAGGAACCAAAGAACAGACCAGTTGTGGCCCATCCAGGCAAGCAATGGCCATGTGGAAACCAACAGAAGTTAGCATGCACTCCCAGGCTAGTGAGCAGAATGTCAGGGTGGTGGTGACCCTCAGAAGGGAAGTAGGTAGCAGGAACCAGTCACTCGGCAGGCCCACAACAGTGAAAGAAGTTTTAGTTAAATCATAGCTTTAACGTCCTAAGGTTCTTAATGATTTTTAATGACTTCAGCAGGGTGCTGCTCGCTCTCCAAAGCAGTCTGTGACAGTGGTGAAAAATGTGATTCAAGAGTTAGGGAGGCTTGGGAATGAATTCTGGCTCTAGGACTTCCTACATGCATTACCTTAGACTAATTTTCTTATCCATAACACAGAGCACATAATAGTATCTTTCTCATAGGGTCATGAGAAGTAAAAGGAAATGAAAATGCACGTACAATGCTGAGTATTATGCCTGACACACATAAGTGCTCAGCTATCATTACCATTATCATTAATTATTATTATCATTAAAGATAAAAGCTCCCTATTCCAGATGTCCCATTTGAGATCCTTCCTGTTTGTCAGATTCCGTAGGGAGGAAGGCATGTGAGCGGAATAGATTGTATGTGCTCTGTCAATCAAATAGGTTAGTCTAATTGCCCACTCGAAAGTACCAGACTCCACAAAAAAATGACTCTATAGGACAGGATGAATTTCCATGAAATAAAAGCTGCTATTAAAGACATTTTGAGTTTGGTAAAAGTAGGCATACAAAAATAATTGCTCTTTTAGATGAACCAACATGGACACCTAATTCTGGGGAAGGCAACTGCTGAAAGCCCTAGTGTAAGTCAGTAAGGCCCAGGGATCACCATGTATCATAAAACGTGGGCAGTGACTCCGCCAGAAGGGTGGCATGCTTTCCTTGAGAGAGATAAGGAAGCTCTCTCGCAAAGCAACCCGACTCGATGAGCATTTACCAAGGGACTGCTGTGTGCCAGATACCACTGTACTGACTCAGCGAAGTCTGTCTGGAGACAGAGCCCTCGGTGAGCTGTTTGAAAAAGTGAGAAAGAGCCCCTGAGGCTGGAAGCGCACCAGGGCCACAGGTGAACAGTACAAAACAATGTGATGAAGAGGTAGATAAGTAGTCAGAGAGATGGAAAGGAGAAACCCATATGACACACAACGGGAGAAGAAGAGGAACAGGTAGAATCAACATGAGGACAGATAGGAACCCGAGAGAAGAAAGGCACGTATTTGGGGCGGGAGTCAGCTAACTCCCAGACTCTTTGAGCCTAGTCACAGAAAGCTTAAACCTGAAAGACCAAGGACAGAAGGAGGAAGGGGAACCATGACCCAAGCATACGACTGGGAACAAAATGATTATGTTAAAAACACAGAGGTCTCCGCTGTTGCAATCTGGCTGCCAAAGTGTGTTTGATGTTTATTTCCAGTTTTATAAATCAGTTAGATTTACATTAAGACACCAGTTCACAACCTACACAGATCATTCTTGTCCCGGACTCTTTAGGTTCTTCTCTTAATCAAGCAAAACACTCAACACTTGCTGATTTTATATGCTCAAAATGTTAGTAGCAGTTAAAATCCAATTTTCACCTTGGATTCCTAGAATGTTTTATTTGGTAGGGCAAAAATAAATCATTTTTCTCAACCGGGCCTCCAAAAAGGTACAAGGTTTTCATTACATGATTCAGGCCGCTTTATCCCATGGCTTTGTTTTTGCGGGTCCACAGCCAAGAGCAGCACAAGCCATCCAAACCGATTAAATAAATGGCAGCGTAGGTGGTACCACAACACTGTGTGTTCGTCTCAAAACTGGGTCTGCACAGTATAAGAATAAGCTACGAAGGATGAAGTCATGGTTATAACAAGGCTCAAAGTTTTACATATGCCCCTTCAGTTACTTAACTACGAAGAGGCTTCAACATGCAGCCAGAAACTCCATCTGAGAGACCTTTGTGGCCATACTTAGGGCTCTCACCCAAGAGGCCATTGAACACCACAAGGTCTCACCTGGATGTAGGAAGTACCTAGAAAAAAAGAAGGTGGAGGAAGAACTTTCTGTCTCCCACACCAAAAGGCCACACTGGACAAAATCACATGGAATAGGATGAGGCTAGCATTCAGAATGTCCTTCTCTAAGACTGGTAGATTCCATGTCTTGGTGAGATGGAATCATGTAGAAACAGACTCACTCTTCTAATTATTTAATACATTTTTTATGCATAGATCGAGGTGATTTTTTTTTTTTACCAGTTTAAAACACAAATGGAATTTCTCCTACATGAATTATTCCCCACATTTTCATAGACAGCCTATCATTTCAGGATGTGGCTTATGTATACACAATCCAGGACAAATGTGCTCAACTTAAAATTCAATATTTATCTGTCAAGTCCAAAACAAAAATCTATCCCGTCAAACAAGTAAGATGCTATTGCTCCTCATAAAGGTCACACGACCTTGGGCTGCAGAGTAAAGGACACTGTAGCGCCACGAAACCATGCTAGGATTCAGCAAATGAGTGACCCAGCTCGGGCAGTACACACAGAACAATGAAGGTTCTGGCAACCAGATTCTGTGAGGATCAACTGAAGAAATACAGATAGTAAGACTATATGTAGACATGATGGCAGTGTTCAGCTACAGTGAGCAAGATGAAGCTTGCTGCATGATGAAGGTACAGGTTAAGTGTTCCTTTTCCAAAAGGCTTGGAACCAGAAGTGTTTCAGATTTTGGATTTTTTCAGATTTGGAAATATTTGCAAATACTCACCAGTTGAGCATCGCAAAGCCAAAAATCCAAAATCTGAAATGCTCCAATGTGCATTTCCTTTGAGTGTCACGATGCTTAAAATGTTTTAGATTTTGGAGTATTTGGGATTTCAGATTTTTTGGATTTGGGATGTTCAACTTGTATTAGCAGGAGTAAAGGCCACAAATCTCAGGAAGAGAAGATTCAATTAATTAAGTATAAGATCTTTTCCACCGTTAATGCTCCTCAACAGTGGAAGATGCTGACATCTTCATTGGAAGCTGAGCTGGAGGAGCATCTCTCAGGAATGCCCAGGATATGAAGCAGATGACTTCTACAGTTTCTCCCAGGTTTCAGATTCTGTGATCAGTTACATTATTCCATTTGGGAAATATTAATTACTATATGCTAGAGCCAAACTCAAATAATTCCTTTGCTCTCGTGTCTACACTAGGACCATGTCTGGGTAGATGCACCTCTAATCACTTCCTTTTGTCTTATCTCCTCCTCCCACTCATGACCAAATCCATGGAGATGCTCAACTGTCTGAGCCTCCACCTACAGGACTTATGCAAACAAGACAGAAGGAAGAAAAACAAGCAGAACTACTCCTGGTCCTGATTCACCAGTACACAGACCATGATTCTTAGAAAACTACATGAAAATAATTTTTCAACCCTTTGTGTCTGTAATTCTGTATGAGCACTGTTATTCAGAGGGTAAGGCTATTCAAGAAACATTACAATTATTCCACAAATATCCATGTTA